TATAATTTTCTTTAGTGTGCAGTTCACAGACAAGAATGTCTGTGAATTGTTGCATGTGCACTGTTGTGTATTTGAGAGATACATTGATAAGAATGTATTATATTTATTGTTTTGATGATTAGCAAACATACATTTCTTAAGTCAGATTTTGTGTTTAAACGTAGCCTTATATTTATATTTTAACCAGTCAAATAAATTATATATACAGTATTATGTTCTTATTTCCTCTGCATTTACACAATTTAGTTTACTTATGCTTTTTAAGCTGTTAGCAAAAGCAGTTAAAATTCTCTTTCTCATTCAGGGAAGGATAGGGTTTAAGCCTGCCATCTGTGATACAGTATTCTGCAACTGCTTCTTCCCCATCCCTCCCCAATTCTCAGATTGTGTCATTGTTCTCAAAGTGTAAGGCTTGCAATAGCCATAGCCTCACTTTCTTATAATAACTCTAATCTCTCTTCTTAATTTAACTATTCTGTCTGTTTATAATTATTTTCCTACTTAACAATGTTTTCTCCTTTTCCTCAATGTTGTTTTAATTTTCTTAAGTTTTATGGTACAGTAAAAACACAAACATTTATGCTCTTGATGGAATTTAAATTCAGAGGCAGTAACAGTATTGCTGATTAGAGTAGCAGTTTATACAACATCCAGCCTGTCTGGTGCTAATTGTCTGATTTAGGAACATATTAAGGCCAGAAACTTCAAACTTCATATTTATGTCTGATTGACCTTTACTGTATGGGAAAGGGCAATTTAAACCCCTGTACTACAAAGCTGCCAACCAGACATTAATGGTTTAGTAAAAGGCTTGTGCAGTACATTTAAAGCTAGACTATGCATAAGACATGACTAGGGTGATTAATGAATGCTTGTTATGTAGTATACTGCAAAGTTTGCTGTGATCTGTTCAACTCTGTTTTCAAAAGAAGATATTGACATTAGCAATACCTTTATCATTATGAAGTGCTTACAGAAGTGTTTCAAGAATTCTTGCTGGTAGTAGAACTGACTGTAATATAACAGTATGTTAGTTCCACTGCCAGGTTAAAAGTTGGATGTTTTGAGACATTTATTTCATTTTAACTGTGCTTGGTAATTCATTGATATGTTAACAAGTCTGTCAGTTGTGAAAACATTGTACAGGTTTTGATAGGTTATATATTAGAGTTCAGAAAAAATCTGTAGTATATCTTGAGTTTCATTACCATTAACCTCATAGCAAATACATTGCATCTAAATTGCTAATTTCATTTTAAGGCAGTTAACAAATATTACTTTTCAGTAGTTCAAGTGTCAAATGAGAGTAATGAATTGGAAAGGATATGGTCATGGCCTAATTTAAGGTACCACCATCCTGACATTTACATGGAGGGACTGAGTAAAACCCAGTCAGGATAGCTGGTCTCCAGGCTGAGATTTGAACCCAGGACCTCCTGAATAAGAAGCAGGAGTGTTATCCACCATAACATTCAGTAGTTTCATACTGTGATGTATATGTAACCTTTATCATATGAGAAACGTTTATTTAAATTCCTGTACTGTAGGGCTGCCTGCCAGATTTTAATATGTGGATGGTTGAAGACCAGTATACTACTGCAAACAGCACAACCAGCTGCACCATGCATAAAGCCATGACTCACAGGTGATGAAGGTTAAGGATAGGGACAACTTTACTTTATATATATATATATATTTTTTTTTTTCAGGAAGTGAAAACATAATCCCTCAACACTAATCAGTTCAGCTTTCCATAAAAAAAGTTTATATATTACTGAATCAATTACAGAAAAAATCAAAAGTGGAATTCATAAGTTCTAACTACATTTTGTTTGTTATAAAAATTTAAAAATACAAATTCTTAAAACATATTCTGGAAATTTCCCTGATCAGTTTGGCTGTTCATATGGAGCATTATTTATGCTATCTAAAGTGATTAATCCTTCTCAGTACCATGACAAACACACTGTAATGTCTTCACCACATTTGTTCATGGTCCAGTGCTGTTCTCTGAATTAACAGTTTTCATATCAACCTACATAAATGTTCATTATCTACCATTTAAACTAAGTTCAGTTACTTTTCACAAATTCACTGTGACAGAATCTAGTATTTAATTACACACTGAGGTCTGGTGGCTTGTAGAATGGTCGGCATCGTTCATAGTACACTTTTGTTGTTCGTTCTTTAACCACCTCTTCTACATTCAATTCAGCTTGTAGTAATCGTAGCTATGAAAAGAAGATTGTATCACAAATGATTATAATGACAGTAATATTGCAAAATTACAGAAACAGAAGAAATGAGGTAATTTTTCCTTAAATTATTACCTTAGTTTGCTCCTTTCTTAACATTTTCAGGAGATTTGAATCATCATTTTTTTCTCTTTGCTCCTTAAGGCCACGTACTCTGTCAGCAGAAACTGTGATACATCCCTTAATAGCAAATTCTCTATTATCATAGTTTTTCTTCAACTGGAAGTATATATAACAGTATATACTTTAAAGCACAGCACAATTCATTATGAACATTATAGTAAAATGACTGTACAGGAAAATAGAAAAGAAGAAGAAAAGACTGGAAAGATGCATTCTTGCAAGTGTACAAATTAGACATGATCAGATTTCCAAGAAATACTTGAAAAAGTAGAAACAACTAATTCCTTGCCTTACAAATTGACAGTAACTTGGAATTGGAAAACACACATTCAATGCATTATGCCTAAAATAAGCTCAGCATACTCTGCTGTGAGGACTGTCACATTTATGAAAACAGAAACTTTAAAATTAGTCTATTTTGCCTACTTCCATTTGATCTTGTCATATGGAATCATTTTCTGGGGAAACTTGACAGAAAAATTATTTTTCATCCAGAAAAAAATCATTAGAATAATGTGAGGAATTATTTAATAAATTTACTACTAGCCATCAAATTCCTGCTCTTATTATCATTATTTGTAGTGAACATAGAAAAGTTTCAAACAGACTCAGATATCCACAATATAAATACAAGATAATCTTCCCCCGCACTATAAAAAGGCTTTATCACGATATAAAGAATATCAAGTCGGCAATAAGAGTACCTCCTATATCACTCCTACTCCATAGAAGAATTATCTTAACCAAAAATTCTCAGCCATTATAAATAAATGTAAGCGATAGTGCTTTCTCGTGTAATTATTTTTGCAGTAATACTGTAGTTGACTGTCATAACTATGTAATTTATATTTGTATTAGAAAAAAATATTGTATTTGTGCTAGAACATGTTTTACATCCTTGGCTTGGGCCTGTGAAGGATCTATGGAATGTAAATAAATTCTATTCTGTTCATGTCCCACACTGCAGTAATAACTACAAGTACCATATATTTTTATGAAACTGGCTTGTGCTGTTAACCTCCAATATATAAACTGACTGCACAAATGGCTAATTAAAAATAACCATAATTTATTTATCTGTTCAGAGACTTATTATACTCTTTGTTAATACAAAGGAAACATTTGCTACCTGATCGTATAGTTCTTTACAAGAAGAAGAAGGGTCTACTTGAACCTTGAATGAATCTGTTGGGATTGATGCGTTTAACATGTAAATGATTTTATCATCTAATATCCTCATCCTCTTCAGAGCATCCTGGAAATATAATTATATAAATCAGTCATTTGCATATTGAAGTGTGAACATACGTTTAGAAGATGAATGAAATGATGCTTCTACAAAATGGGTGACTGACCTCTTGAGGTCCTAAAGGCATATGAAATTTTTGGTTCTCTGGTGGTCTTCTGAAGAGAACAATCTTGCTGGAAATCATTACCCACTTCTCTAGCCTATAACTAGTCACTTTACTGGCTAAGCTACCCCTATTCATTTGTTGTAAGAAAGTAGAATTTAATTTAAAAGTTATCAAAACCCAGTAGTGTAATTTTCCAATTCACAAGTGACCACTGTATTTTCCCTGTGATAAACTAGTATACCTACACATCTCTCTACCTTTTTACAGTTTGCATAAATAGATGTAGGTATCTCAGATTTACATATTTATTGAATGTGACACGACAGAAGAAAAATTCTTGCAAATAACAGTGTATTTTTTCTGGTATAATTTTTCAATATGAACTCTCTTTATAGCTCAGCATACATACTCTATTGTGGATGTTGTCACCTGCCTTCCATACATATTTTGGCTAACTGCAGCTTACAATATCCTTTCAAATAACTGCTGTAACAATGTTTCTTTTTAGAAATACACTTCCTTTACATAACATCTTACAAAATATTAATTGGTTTAAATAAGATGAACAGAGGCCTGGAAATAGGTTCTCCTCTACTTAAATGAAAATTCAGAATTCTGTGGCTGCCAAGTAATCTTACTGAAAAATAGGCATATGCCACTGTCTTGGAAGATGTCAGCTTCCCCCTCAGACTGTGGACAAGGGTAATTTCCTGGCATGTTCAAATATGCATTAGGGTTTACAATCTTTTGTTTCTGTGAAGAAAAATTGTGTTTGTGAGAGTACACCACACATTCACATTATTAATATGTCTTCTAGGCATCCGTCTGGATTTGAATCCCAGAAACTACAAAAATTCCTATGTGCAGTCACCGGCAGTGGAGTGTTTCTTCAGTGTCTCAGCCATCATCTATCTTCATACATATCTGCCGACCTATGAATGAAACTCGTATCGAAATAATATACAAAAAATAAACTATTATTTGTGTGACAAAATTTGTTTTGTTGTGCCATATTATCGCATTAAATAAATATTTAAATTTGAAATACCAGCATTAATGGAAATCCTATTGGTCATATAGGTTAGGTCAGTGGACTTCGCACTTTCAATTCGCAACTGTTCAGACACACAACTGATGTGGTTTACTAAAAGGATATTAACAGAATATGATTACAATTTGAGAACAACCAATATTTTTACCTGAAACTGTAGAAAATCATCACATTCCATGCTTTCGGCCGCTGCCATTTTAATATAGTCTCGCCACCAAAAGTAACTTCCCGTCATCCTCTAGAAATGCTAGGCCTTGAAGTTGA